TTTAGGTTCTGATCCATTTTAAGTTAATTTTTTCAATATGGTGTGAGGGGTCCAACTTCATTTTTTGCATGTGGATATCCAATTACCGGAACACCATTTTTTTTTTTTTTTTAAGATTTTATTTTTAAGGAATCTCCACACCCACGAAGTCACAACCTTAAGTTCAAAAGTTGCATGTTCTACCAATTGAGCCAGCCAGGCGCCCCTGAACACCATTTGTTGAACACCATTTGTTCTTTTACCCCACGGAGTTGTCTTTGTCAAAAATCAGTTGACAATTGTGACGGGCAGAATGCCCCTGCACCATAGACATTGCATCCTAATTCCTGGGATCTAGGAATATGATGTTACATGTCAAAAGAGAATTAAGCTTGCAAACAGAGTTAAGGTTGCCAACAGCTAACCTTAAGACAGGGAAATACTCCTGCATTACATAAGTGGGCTTAATGTAATCATTACGGTCTTTAAAAGTGGAAGAGGGAGAGAAGAGTTCTGAGTCAGAGGGAAACGTGACTGTGGAGGGAGTGATGTGATGCAAAAAGGACCCAACTTGCCTTCATGTGAAGATGGAGGAAGACGGCCATGAACTGAGAAATGTGGGCAGCCTCCAGAAATTAGAAAATATAAGGAAATGGATCCTAACCCAGAACCTACAGAAAGGCTTTAAAATATATAATTCTACAGGTCCATATTACATAATAATCAAAAACAAGCTCTTTAAAAATGCACAAAATCACTGTGGAACCAAGAAGCTGAAAGTCTTTCAGTTCTTATTTCCTTAGTAGACTATATTCTTACTAATTACCTTCACCAAGAAAAATCACATAACACACTCAGCTGTAGTAAATTACACTGTAATAAGGTCTGAATTAGCCAAGTTTTCCTACATCTTAACAGGTATAAGATTGCTGCTATAGAAAGAAGCAATCTTTTGATAAGTATCATATATAATAATGCTTTCCTATATGATACAAGTTCAGGAGAGAGGTATTACATCTGTTTCTAGTATAGGAAAGAACATGGACTTTGGAGCCTGTCATGCCTGATTCAAATCGAATACACTTACAGGTTTTACGACCTTGAGAGAGTCATTACTTTGCCTGAGACTCAGCTTTCTCCTCTGTAAAAAGGGATACCACCAACCATGCAGTGCAGAGTTAAAGACTAAATGAGTTCATATGTTTAGATTTAAAAACATTTATCTAAATCAAGGGTCAGCAAACTTTTTCTGTCAACACTTTATCATTGTAAATATTCTTTGCAGGACATACAGTCTGTCACATTTACTCAACTCTGCCACTGTAGCACAGAAACAGTCATAGATGAGTTTCAATAGAACTATCAAAAGAGGCTATAGAGGTGGCCCATAGGCCATAGTCTGCTAATGCCTGACATAAATCATCCAGTGCAGTGGCTGGCACATAGTGGGTGTTAAATACTAGGTACTATGATCATTACTCTCTTTTTCCCTATCACAGCCAACAAACACAATCCTTTATTGCTCATACGACTCATTCACCATTCTATCATTCCCAATTTGTAAAATATTCAATATTACCTAAACTGCTGCTGCCAAAGTTTCTCGGTCACTCTATTCCCAGTATGCAAACAAGTGATTCATTATCTTCCACACTGTCATCTGGATCACAGACAGAGGTTCAGATAGGAGGTTCAGGACTACTGGTTCAGTTCAATACTTAAATCCCTTTTATGACCTGTCCTATGAATGGCTGTCCAACATGTCTGAACACCCCCAATGACAGGGAAACCACCAAATTCCTAGCACCCTTTCTCTTGTCAGGTAGCTTGGACTTTTTCTGAAAGCCCTTTTATTGTAAGCTTAACTTCAATATGGTTCAACTTCATAAGTATATACTGAGTAAATGCTGAGACCACAAAGATGAATAAGATATAACCTCTACCTCCAACTTCTCACTGGACTTTGTCTGCCACTGTCACCCAAACAAGCCTCATGTTCTCCCTTCATGACAGACATTCAGGTGTTCGGAGGTTGGTGCCCTAAGTTGTTCCCCAAACTCCCAATTCCTTCAACCGTTCCTCAGAGGCTCCCTCCCCACTTCACACTGCCTTCCTCTGGACATAAAATGCACACACACCCTCCAAAGAAGTCCAGGTGTGGCTGGACAACAGAAAGTGAAGCCAACCTAAAACTATGCACATTTAGCTTAGCACCAACAATCTAAACGAACAAAGGCAGCCTCATTTCCTCAACTCACAACTATACTCCTTTAATTTTCCAAGTGGTTCTATAATATTTGAGCTAAGTGATAGATCTTAGATGATATGGCAAACATTAACATTTCTTTTCCTTAAAGAAAAGGAAGATTTAGGCTAAATAGCAGTCAGGTATCTGTTTTTACTTGATCCAGTCTGATGGAGTCAATAACAGCATTTCTAGGCTGAATTAATACCAAAAAAAATTGTTTTTAATTTTAATTTTTAAAGTAAATATACTAAAAAACTCCAATGTAAGGATTGCAATTGTAAGATAGATGTTTACAAAGGAAAAAAGGATAGAAAATAGTATCACGCTTATAGTAAGGCTAAGCAGTGTTTTATAAATATATTTATGTGTAATGCATCCCAAAGTAAAACAGACTTCTTACTGTGGTTCATGGCGAAAAGTTTTTGAAAAACACTGTTCCAGACCATGCCACCTGCCATTGGGATAGAAGAGTGATTCTTCTCTTACGTTTTATAAAAATAAAAATAGATGGACTTTAGAAAATTTTAAACTTTTGTTTTTCAAAAGATACCATCAAGAAAGTAAAAAAACTACCTACAAGAATGAGAGAAAAAATTTGCAAATCATATATTTGATAAGGGACTTATAGCTGGAGCTATAGACTTCTTGCAACTCAATAATAAAAAGATAAACAACCCAATTAAAAATGGCCAAAGGATCTGAATAGATATTTCTCCAAAAAGATGTACGACCAATAAGCACATGAAAAGATGCTCAACATCATTAGTCACTAGGGAAAAGCAAATCAAAACCATAATGAGATACCACTTCACAGAGCTAAAATAAAATGGGCAGACAATAACAAATGTTATAGAGAACGGAGAAAAATTAGAACCCTCATAGATCACTGGTGGGATCATAAAATGGTAAGCAGTTCGTCCGTTCCTCAAAATGTTAAATGACTCAGCAATTCCACTCCTAGGTATACATACACACAAGAGAACTGGAAACATATGACCACACAAAAATCTGTACACAAATGTTCACAGCAACATTATTCACAATAGCCAAGAAGTATAAACAAACCAAATGTCTACCAATTGATAAATGGATAAACAAAACGTGATATATCCATACAATGGGATATTAAGCTGTAAAATGGAATGAAGTAGTGACACATGATAGAAAATAATGAATCTTGAAAAAGAAGCCAGACGCAACAGGCACATATTGTATGAGTCCATTCATATGAAATGTCCAGAATACTCAAATCCAGAGACAGAAAGTAGATTAGTGGGTGCCAGGAGCTGTAAGGTGGGGGAACTGGGAGTGACCACTACTGGATACAGGGTTTCTCTTTGACATGATGAAAATGTTCTAAAATTAGATTATGGGGATAGCTGCACAAATGTGATTATAATTAAACCCACTGAATTGTACACTTTAAAGAGGTGAATATTACAATATGTGAATTATATTTCAATAGAGCTATTATAAAAAATGTAAAACCCCTGAACGGCTTCCCTTTGCCAAAACAGTTTATTGGAGCACTGAGGTTCCTTCAAATTCTTTTGTCACTTACTTCCAACTCAATGTTTAACCCTCGTCTCCTACTATTTCCCCCTTGCACCACCTTCTGCCTCCGCCCTCAACACAGCATGACCATTTTAGATTTCCATGCCTTTGCACATACACTTCTTGTTGTCAAGAATGTCATATTCCCTCTTCTCTTTCTGATGAACGTCTATATATCCTTCAAGACAAATACTGTTTCCTCCAAAAAATCACACACAGTCCTCCAGACAAAGTTGGTCATCCCCTCTATGCTATAAATACTAGTTTAAGCATCTCCCCTTAATAGATTCTGAACTCCTTGAGTTTACTAGACAGTATTATCTTCAGCCCCAGGACCTAAACCATTTAGTAAATGTTTACTGAATAAATGAGTGACAGAATACTCCCTCACTACTGACTAGAAGTAGTCAGCTATTTTTTCTCCAACTAGTTTAATTGGTAAAATCCATACAAATACAACTTGAGTGCTAGCCTTTAGAGACCAATAAAATGAAATAAAAATACAAATTTGGGGCCAACATTGAGACTTAAGGAAAATTACCATAAAGTAACATTTCATGGGGGCTCATAGTTCAGATACTTATCATTGTTGACCGAACACACTTACTGAAGTCAATACTCTTTTATTCAACATATTAAATGTGTTGTTTAACTCTGGTAACCACAGCTGTGACTTAGTTAACGATCTCAATAAATCCTACTTAAATCAGAGACAGGAAAAAATTATGCAAATGAATTCTTATCTGTTTTTTTCTGCCCAAGGCATATTTGATAACAGATAAAACATCTCCAAATAGTCTCTACTTAATTGTCAGGAAGCCATTTGAGGTTTTATTTGTATCAAAACCAAATACAAAGAAAAGGAGAAGCCTGCCATATTCACAAATGATTTTATTCAGAAAGAAATTACACATTAAAAGGAGACATAGTTGAGAGCTTATTTTCACATATGGAAGTGAATCTAGGAAAGTCAACAGTTATTAATATACAAAACCACATGATTAAAAAAGACAGTAATAGATAATGACAGATGGGCTTGCCTTAGACTCATCTGCAAAATATCTTTTGTTTAAAAACAAAAAGATATTTGTCTTTAAGACAGCTCTTTAGAAACAAGTCTAGAGTTCCAATGGACTTTAAAAATCAAACCAATCATACCATTCTCCACACAGGCGGTATCACACCCATATTCATCCAGCAGGGGTAAACCAGCCAACAATTATACCTTGCAGCTAGACAGGATGTCTTCCACTAATCTCTTGTAAACCCAGGCATCACCCTTAAGCCTCTGCCTCTTGATACCCACCACATCGGGTTTCTGAAGCTGGCACACTTCTAGTTCAAACTGCATTGTCACTTTACCAAAGTCTGACTGTGTTTGACACTTCAGTGTATACCTATGAAAACAAGATAAGAAGCCAGTTAGTAGCAGAACCATGAATATTCTGTATAAGAAATCTCTAAGCCCATAGGAGGCCAGTGGAGAAAACGAACCATTATTTCATTAAGCAATATCTTACTGCTTACAGTTTCCAAATGACTTAGCTATACCTTAATCATGGAGCATGACTAGTGTTTTTGCAAAAGCTGAACTAAGATCTTAAGAAAGAATAAAGATGAAAGGCTTTACCAGAACTTTCTCTTGTCCAAAGAAAAGCCTTCCTTTCATAGCTACCAATGCCATTTATGCTCAAGAAATCTTCTGGTCTTCCTTATGCAACTCTTTCAACAGTGTAATCCATGAACAGTAGGCCATTTCCACAATGTTCACAACAAAGGAAAGCACAGGGAAGATTAAGAATATTTTTTTGTGTGCACATCATCAGAAAATTCTTTCATATAAATAAAGTTGAAGCCACCAACTGTCAGAAGGGTGTGTGTTTCTGAGGTTTTCTAATAGTAATAAGAGGTTATGATCATTACACTTTATGGCAGAGTTATAACAGAAAGCCCATGGAGATGGTCCATTTCCATGGTTGAAACACATGGGGTGTGTGTGTGTGTGTGTGTGTGTGTGTGTGTGTGTGTGTGTAGAAATAAAATTAGAACTGCCATATAACAATTCTGAAAATGGAAAAGCCCAGGCCAAATGAAGCCTTAAAGACATCTTAAGACTTAAGAATCAGGTATGTTCTTGCAAAGTTACATAAATTGAATTCATGTAAATCAACTTTTTAATTAGTTTGCAAAATATTTTCATTTTATTTGTCTTACTAAATAATAGACAACAGGATCAATTTTAAATATCAGTTCCCTAAATATGTGGGGCACGTGATTAGGTACTGTTCCACAGAAGCGTGGAGAAATTACTTGTATCTGTTATGTATTTGAGGTTTTACAAAATATCATTCTTTCTCTTACTTAGTTATGTGTTTGGGGTCTTCATCTCTTAAAAATGAGCAGTCATCATCAGACATGCCAAAAGAAGTATTCTGTAGTTAAGGTTCCTGACGGGAAGATGAAGCATAGGGCAATTCAGTCATATGGAGAGAAAAGCCAATCCTTCATGAATGAAAAAAGATAATAATAGAATATACCTGAGATTAGTAACATCACATCCCTGAAAAACTTAGCTTTTGATGTTCTTCTTTGTCACAAAGAAGTTAAAAACAAACAGAAGAGATAAAAAGGGAAAAAAAGGGATCAAGGCAGACACTTTGCCGTTGATGAGTAAGTTAGATGGATAAATTATTGGTTAACAGCTAGTTGGCGATCTGATAGAAAGATCACATGCTGAAGGAATTATTGAAGGCTTTCTAACATAGATTTGGCTAGAGGTTCTGGAACCACCGCTGAACTGCAAGCGTGAAGAACGGGTCAGAGTGAGTTATATGTGTTCTGATGATGCCTAAAGAAGAAAGCCAGGGTCCAGGTAAGGAATGCTTACCAACATGTACAGATAATGAAAAGTAAAATTACTTTTGCAAAAGATTGTTTCTTAAAATCTTCCTCTAAATTGAACATCTAGTTAAATGTTTTTTATTGAACATTGAAATCTAGTTAAATGTTTTTTATATCAATTAGTGGCTCTTTTTATCTGCCTCAATAATGAAATTTGAAAGACATAACTGGAAATACTTAGAAATATGAACATCTTAGGTAACGAGAAGAGGTCTGGCCATTCAGACCATGAGATCACAGCCACGGAGGCTTTGCCGGCAGCTCACTGAACGGTGGGAAAGAGTTAAGGTGAAATAATTTCCTAAAATGGTGAAAACCCAGTCCTGTCCAACAGCAAGTCATAAACAAAAGGATTCTATAAACCCCTGATTGGTCTGAGGTGTCTCGACTGGAAAAAAAACTGGAAGGAGTTCAGATTTTTCCTATTTTGAAAAGTCTAATTTTGAAAGTGGTGACAATATGGCACTAGCTCATACAAAACCAAAGAAGCTAAATTATGAACAATGACACTGCCATAAAAGCTTTTTTGATGAAAATGAGGTGGGAAAAAAATTTTTTTAAAAAGAGAAGAATCAATACATGTCTTCTCAAAGCTCAAAAGATATCAAGTAATAAATGCAACAGCCTCTAAGTGTGCTTCTTACCCCTTTTGTACAAAGTCAACATGCTTCTTTGGAAGAACAGACATTATTTCATTCAAGAGTTGATCTGGATTCACTAGTTTGGTTGTAGTCACATTATAGTGAAGCTTAAAAAAGAAAAAGAAGAGGTATGAAGTAAATCTTTACATCAACACAAACACCTTCCTACCTAACTCAAGAGATCCCAAAATCATTATAGCACCAGTTCAAATGGAAGCATTTCCAGAAAAATACTGAATTTACAACCAGTTCTTGGTAAGCTGGAATAAGATGGCACTGGAAAGCTTGGAGAAATTAACTTTCACTAGTAAGTACATCCATATCATCCTTTTTAACTTTTCATCCTCTTCTCCTACCAATCTTTTTAATGAAATAAATATTAATTAACATCTATCTGTTTGAGCTTTACTTGTTCCTCCCTTCTTGTGCTATGCCAGAAACATTAATTGTCCTAAGATGTAAACTGTGAGAGATGAAACAAATGGCCCAGGAAATGTGGTTTGAATATATACCTGACCCTTGAAAAACGCAAGGGCTAGGAGTACTGACTCTTCATGCAGTTAAAAATCCACAAATAACTTTTGACTCCCACAAAACTTAATAGCCTGTTGACTGAAAGCCTTACAGATATCATAACAATCAGTTAACACATATTCTGTATGTTATGTGTATTATATTCTAAGTTCGTACAATTTAATAAGCTAGAGAAAAGAAAATGTTAAGAAAATAAAAAGGGAAGGGGGAGGCTGGGTGGCTAGGTCGGTTATGCGTCCGACTTTAGCTCAGGTTCTGATCTCGTGGTTCGTGAGCTCAAGCCCCGTATCGGGCTCTGTGCTGACAGCTCAGAGCCTGGAGCCTGCTTCAGATTCTGTGTCTCCTTCTCTCTCTGCCCCTCCCCCACTCATGCTCTATTTCTCTCTCAAAATAAATAAAGGTTAAAAAAAATTTTTTTTAGGGGTGCCTGGGTGGCTCAGTCGGTTAAGTGTCCGACTTCAGCTCAGGTCATGATCTCACAGTCTGTGAGTTCGAGCCCCGCGTCGGGCTCTGTGCTGACAGCTCAGAGCCTGGAGCCTGCTTCGGATTCTGTGTCTCCCTCTCTCTTTGCCCCTTCCCCGCTCATGCTTTGTCTCTCTCTGTCTCAAAGATAAATAAAAACATTAAAAAAAAATTTTTTTTTAATTTTTTTTTAAAAAGGGAAGGGAACATATATTTACAGTACTGTACCATATTTATCAATACTGTAAGTTTACACTGTTTACAAGATGAATCCTCTATCTTCTATTAGTACCTACAAAAATACTGTCTTATATGATACAAAACATGACAGATGTTACATGTATTACTCACACTAGATATCAAAAATGAAAAGATAATATGCAAAAGAAATTCATATTTATTTACAGGTATATTTATTTATTTACTCATGCATTGATAACGAAAAACCAGCAATATGACTGCTTCATGGTAGCCTGGTGTAATCAATATGATTGCTTCACAGTAGCTTAGCCTACACACTAATGAATAAATGGTTATAAAATTTTATGGGATACAGTAATACAGTCACATTCATAATACAGTATTAGAAACACTGTTATATATATTTTTAAAAACACCTACTGGTGATGATAGGCTGATAAGCAGTTTCTCCAAAGACAAGAGAAGCATACTGTACAGTAATGTTATTCTTTGAAAACAAAGTCATGAAACAGTAAGAAAACTAACACATTATTAATTTTATATTAAATACCACTCACCTTGTGTCTAAGTAAAGATAGGCTATCCACTTCCATATGAGTCTTGCACACAAGGTTCTACATGAGGAACACTTAGGTAATGATGATGATGGCACAAAAACGTCTCCTGTGGCTCTTGTCATACAGTTACTACACGTTCACATGACACTCACACACATACACCACAGGTAAGTTTATTAAGTGTATGCCATGGTGATTATTTACTGCTCATCAGGTAGAAGTGGATCATCATAAAGTCCTTCATCCTCCTCTTTTTCATGTTGAGTCGGCTGAGGAGGAGAGGTTGTTCTTGCTGTCTCAGGGTGGCAGAGGTGGAAGAGGTAGAAGGGGATGAGAAGGGGCAGGCACACTTGGTGGAACTTCCTGGAAATAGGTCGCAATTTGTCTGACTTCATGCTTTTTCATTTTTCTAAAAAATGTTTCTGTCCAGTACCAATCCTCCTCCTATCATTTGCTTCAGTTTCAGTGCCCATATCATAAAAGGCTCCATGTCATAAAAGAAGTAAAAAGTAGTCCTGAATTATCAAAACCCTTTTGCCAGTTTGTCTAATGTCAATTTGGTTTCTAGCACTGCTTCTTCTACATGTTCTTCCTCATCATGTCACTGGTTCAGATCACTTATCTCCATCAACTTATCTTCTGTTAATTCTTCTGGCATGGTGTCTATCAGCTCTTGACTTTCTCCCCATATCTTGAAGCCCCATAAACACCCTTTTTTGCCATATCCACAAACTCTTTCATAATTTCTCTGTTTGGCTCTGCCGTAAACCCTGTGAAGTTATGCACAACATGTGGACAGTTTTCTCCAGCAGAAATTTGTTTTAGGCTTAGGCTTTCATGATTTTTCTGTTACAACAATGGGATCTTCAATGATGTAATCCTTCTAGACCTTCATGACATTCTCTTCCATAATGCTGACAACCCTTTCCATAGTACTGTGTGTAATGAGCCTTAAAGGTCCTTATGACCCCCTCTTCTAGGGGATGAATTAGAGATGCCATGTCTGGGGACAAGCACACCACTTCGACACCTTCAGTGTTGATCTCATAGGATTCTGGGTGGTCAGTGGCATTGTCCAATATCAAAAGAATTTTTTTTGTTGTTGTTTTTTTGGTTTTTTGAGGGTTTTTTTTGTTTTTTTTTTTATATGAAATTTATTGTCAAATTG